AACCAAGATTCCAAACCATTGCTTTGAAGCCTTCAGCCGTCTCAATCTTCTTTGCATTGATTTCCAGTTTCATCAGGATCTCGGAACGAAGCGCATTTGAAAACCAAGCCTATCCTATTGTTCGATCTTACCATTGGCACGAAAGACAATCTATGTGAACGTAAGGCCAAAACGAATATACAAAATATCTGAGACTGAACATGTTTAACTTTCCCTGAGGCGCTTGAGGACTTCTCAAAGCAAAGTTTGCAAGCAAAGGAAAGCGTAGCTCCAGAGACAGGTAGCTAAGCTTTGCAGATGGTGCTTTCCGCACAACCCGGGAAAGCTGAGAATGGAATCCTTCAGTTGACTGCTCAACGTTTCTTACCTCAGACCACTGAATGCAATGCAACAAAGCAACATCTACAGTAAATCTAAATTAAAATATTCTTTTGGTATGCTATAATAGTATTATGGTGTCTACTCTAAAAAGGAACTGTAATCAACAGTGACAGAAATCCTAAACAACAAACTGTTGCTAGTTGCTAAGTGACAAGTCGGAAAGCTGAAACCCAACGCTTGAAAGGGGCTGCATCTTCATCTTCCATGTCAGCAAGTCGCTCTCCCTTTGCTAAACGCTCAACAAAAGGTCTGAATGGCACATCTCCAGGTCCCAAACCCTGAAAATCAGGATTCAGAAATCTCTGTGTTTGCACATGCCCCAAAACACCAGGGCCACCGTTCTCGTACATGGCCAAGACCTTCTTAGCAGTGATACGCACGACCTGCTCGCTATCATGAGATAGAGCACCTGAGCCGAGCATGATGTCATTTGGAAGCACCATTTCGCAATATACAGAGTTCAGTCAGTCCGAATAACATTTTACACAATAACTAGGTTTTGCATGCATTTGGAATCTGAAAAACTACACCGTTGCGTGTTTGATCACGCTTAGCTGAATTGTTGTGTTCATTAAAGCATGTATGTTGGAATTTGTATGCTGCTTAACTTATGAGCTTATGAACTGTAATGCTTAAGTTTGTTTTGGCAGTGATTGTTTGAGTTTGACGCAGATCAACTTGGCCAGACAAGTGGCACAAGCACCACGGCAACTGGCCCCAGTAGTCCAGCTTCATTAGCAACTGTCCTCAGCTGGACAGTGAACCTTCCCAAAACCAACACTTCTCTTCCCCAAACCCAGCATATATCTTTTGCAATGGTTATGATGCACTGCAGCCAGCCCAATTCTGGCATCTTGGGTCAGTAAGTATACAGTGTATACAGGGGTTGGGTGGGTGGGATGCATAAAGCTTGCAGCTGCCCAAAGCCGTACAGCTGCCCCATATTTACCACTGCAGCTGCAAGCAACACAAATGCAGGGCTAAACGATGGTTAGGGTTGGTGGCAAGCTGCCAAACTTGCCAACAGTCAAACCAAACAATGCTGTGCAGGACCAGGACTATTTGCCTTTTAAGATAAACACACAAGCATATAAAACCGAAACCGCAAGCAAAACTGTTTGGATCAAGAGCAGCAAGGCTCCAAAGAGTCTTGACCGTGCAGTTGCCCAGTCTGCATTTAGCTCATCTTGAGCAGGCCGGTCATCAACAATACGTGAAAAATGACACTGGATCAAGCCACACTGTTGCGACATCAACCGCAATTGGGTCTGCAGACCCTGCCCGCATGCCAGTTCAGCTGCCCTACAACCCTTCCTTACACACTTGAAGTCAGAGTCTTTTGCGCCAAGAGGTCTGTTCGGCTTGCTTACATCATGGAAGGTCGTCATAGGTTCGTGACAGGGGCAACCACCAGCCCACCGGCCGATGAACTCACATCCAAAGGTGATTTGAGATATGACACCAACACGACCCCAAAAGACTGATGAGCGAATTGCGGAGTCGGCCTCAGTGAAATCTGCAGCAAGCGTCCACCGTCCGTGTCCGGCAGCACCGCGAAGAAACAGGTCAAGATCCCAATGACGGCGCAAATGATCTTGGATGTCTAACAGTTGAAGGCAAAACTCCACCACGACCTCCCAACGCAAACCTCCTAGTTTGGCGTTGAACGCTTCAACCACAGAAGTTTCAGGGTGCCCCTCTGGCATGCAAACCGCACAAAGGCGCTCGCGGTATTGAACACGGGACAGCAACTTTTCAATCCCCTTCAGCTGCCCCAATAATGGTTCCCAGCACTTCATGGAAGCAGTCACACTTTTGAGCGAATTATCCGAAACATGTTTGATTCCTGCCACGTGGAACGCATTGCAGAAGAAGTGCAATGGATCACTGCCCTCCTGACGCACTTGGATGTTGTCAGACTGGCACTGAAGTTGCAGCTCACAATTGGCATCCAACTGAGTTTCATCCTGCAAAGCATCAAAAAGAGAAGGCCGTGTTTGTAGAGTTGCAGCTGCCTCATGAACCATGTGATTTGTTTCCAGCTGTGGTAGTGAACCAAATCCGAACTCGACCCCCTGATCGGAAGTGATTGATATAACTTGGCGAGCGTACTGTCGTAGGAGCGTTTGCCGGTCTAGTCTCTCCCCAACTTCACCCACTGCATTTGGAAGCTCCACTTGGAGTACCCACATCAGAGCATCCACCTTTCACACAAGGGTTGTAAATCCTTGCAGGGAAAAGAGAAAGGCCATTGGCCCACTTCAGTCACTACAGCGGAAAAAGGTATTCAAAAGGCACCCCACAAGAATTACAGGACAGTCCACTGTAGCAAGTAAATCCCTGTGGTGACAGTCACCCTGGCCCGCCCTCTCCTTTGCCAAGAGATACCACTGGAAGTGGACGTCGATCGACACGGTAAGAGTCAAAAGAGGACAGTGAACCATCAAGTTCCTTTTCAAAGGAACTTTGCACATCAGCGCACCTAGTGGACAAACAATTTCAATTGAAACATTAGTGTATTCATGTGTCAAAAGACTTGAAATTCCAAACTATGCCTTTATGTTTCAATGCTGAAATTTGGACAGTAGAGTGGAGTATAGTAGTACACGGTTGCTGGTCATTTCTAAACCAACGCTGTCCCATGCGAACAAGTTGCGAAGCAGAAAACTCTTCTGTCATGAAGAGCTCTTTTCGTTGTTCAGAGCTATCTGCACCTGGAAAAGCGCAACTTACAACTTACATCTAGACATGCCCACAGGCCCACAGGCTCACGTTGTTGCAAATAGACACGACAATGGAAGAAGAACCAAAGTTGACCAAATTGGAACCTAGTTGCACAAGGATACCCATTTACTGGCAATCCCTTGCTCCAACCATTCCTGTTGCCGGCAAAGAATCAACAATAGATCTAGTCTGTACTTGGATTTGCTGAGCGTAGATCCAGCTGGCCCATGAGACACCAAGCCAGCATGCTTTGTACGATCCGGTAAATTCTCGATCATGTTCAAATCACTGGTGGTGGTAGCCATGACTTGAGATGCCTCCATCACCAGCCTAAAGTCGCCTGATGAAATCCCTGCAGCAGTGCTCATCGCAGCCTGAAACCTTTTGGAGTTCCGCAATTGATTGCCCCTCAGAATGTCATCGGAGAAAACAAGTTCTGTGTGTGTGGGTTGCCATTGACAATCAAACACCCCCAATTGTTTTCCTACCACCTGCCAACCAACTCCCACAAACAATGTAGCAAACCCCAAACAGTAAACATAAGACCTTTTGGTGACGCAAACCATTCAAGATTGCCAGTTGAGCTGCAAGGCCGTAAAAGACATCAATTGCCTCAATGAGTAAACAGGCCGACCCATGCCATGCTGCTCGCTCGGTTTCATGCGAGCATATTGTTTTGCAGCTTCTTGTTGATCCACCTGCATGGGGATCGGCTGGGTAAACAATTATTCCTTTCATTGCTCCTACTGTCACGTACGAAGCTTAAGGAAAAAAACGATGCTGCTGCTGCTGCAGCCATTCTCAATCCAAATAACTTCAAATTTCAAACACAACAAAATCCTGCCTGAGTCAGCTCATGCAAAGAGATGCATCCGCGACGAAATGCAGCTATCTGCAGGGGCACGTAAAACAATTTCATCGTTGCATGCATTATCCATCAGGATGCTGACGCATTTGGAATCATGGAACGCACAAGACTTCAAGCTTCCCAGATCATGTTACCCAACTACCCATGCCCCTCCTCCTCTGCACTTCCATATCGCAGAATAGGTCCAGCAGCTGATTGGAAGGCTTCCAAAATAGACGCGGCGCGTCCAGCTACACGGTCCATTGCTAATTAATGCGTGAAAACAACAGCCTGATGCCTGAACCTCTGTGTTTGATTTCTCGAATTCTTTGTTTTGGTTTGCAACCGCCATCAGCCACAACACCCTTCTTAAATGTGTTGTGTTAAGCAATGAGCTCCGCTTGCAAACCACAATCTAACATTGCATAACTGTATAATACTTATACAGAAATGATCATTCTGCTGCTAGTGTTTTGCAACCAGCGCCCCCACTCGCAGGAAACGAGCTTGTGAAGCGACACAATGTATCATGTGTTTGGTGCGTTCTGGGATTTTGTGAGGACTGCACAGCTATATGAACACACTTCCCATTTCCATCCAAAATCGCAAAAAATCAGCCAGCTACTATCAGAGAGTCAGATAATATAGATATTATATATCTATAAACACAATCTACTTTGAAATTCAATACCTCGCTTTCCTGATGTGTTCACACTTCAGTGAAGTCACAAAAACTTATAGATCTTTTTTGCCGACAACTAGCCAGACTTTAGAAACTTAGCAGCTCTGGCCTATTTATTTCAAGCGCATTCTGAGTTCTTCCTTTTCGGTCTCAAAACTAAGGACCCAATTTTGACATGTTGGGGATTGTTGGTTTCTCTAGGTAAAGCTCCATGGGGCTATTACTACAGCCTAGCTAAAAAGATCACAGAGCAATTAGTGTGATTCCATGTTGATTGTCAACCTTTCTGATACTGTGCAGCAAAACAGGGCAGAAGCAAAGAAACGCGTGTTCGACAGGGAATCAGCCAAACTGAAAGCGAGTTGCGCTGGCAACCAGCAGGGACAGCAACAAAAACACTCGCGTGCAAAGCCCTCTGGATGCCATGCTGGCACAAATCAGTAGGCCCCTCGTCGCGGATCGTTGCCATGTGGATCCTTTTTCTTATGTATGTTGATCCCTGGGCTGAGGGCCTCCATTGCAGGGCGAGGCGATCTGTATTATATGAAAGTTTTGCCTCTGTTGCGACTTCTATTGCATTCCTGTCCAACAATGCTTATACCTAGACCGAGACCTAGTATTTGGAGCAATCACATTAAACATACTTTGAAATGTCAACAACCAGGGTACCGTTCAACTTTTAGCTAGCTTGGACTTGGTAATTGACTGCATCCCTTTCAGCTCTTCTGCCTTTGCCAAATTTGGGAATGCCTCTCATTCTAGTTGAGCCTGAGTTTACAAAGATCTACAAGGCAAGGCTACAAAGCTGAAAAAAATCGACTTCACTTCTAAGTTTGCAAATAAATCAATAACAAGAAGCTACTATGGCCTCCTGGCCTTACTACTAGGAGCAAGGACGCTACTAGGGGCGCCTGGCCTAACTACTAGTAACAAGAAGCTACTAGTATGTCCGTTAGACTCTCCAGAAGTCACATCTGTTTTCTATCGGCTTTGAAAATCATCCGCTCGCAGGGTTCTGTACAATGGACGTCGCCCACGGCAAATGACCAGGCAACGCATCAAAAGGAAACTTCAGCACTGAACCTTCAGTCTATGTACAATCCTGAAGGGTTCTGAAGCTAGGCTTCAAAACTGCCTGATTCAAGAAACTTGATCCAAAGGTGAAATCCACAAGCACATGTTGATCCGCCTAGTCTGAGCATCATTGCATGAAAAATCAGGAAAGTGTTCAAGCTGTTGAAAACGTTTCTCCGTTCTTAAAGAGATCGCATCCTTGTGCAAGAGTCGCCTTCGTACTTTCTACGGTGTTGCCCTCCGAAATACTGTGCTTGAGTGAGGTATCTTAAGATAGGACAATAATGAACTAAACTAAACAAATCACGACCATCACATCAAGATACCGGTATCGGCCCTAAAGATAGGCCTTCGAACGGCCATAGACACTCGAAGCTAAATGGGATGTTCCACTCACTTTGGCCCAGCACGACGCCGGCAGTGGCAAAGGCTCCGGGAAGTAGGCTGCACATATGTCCCCACTGGTTTGGCCAGGGTGGAACATCTATGACCCTCCTCATCCTTGTCGATGCTTTTCAAACTCATGTGACCTGAACACGCAGCTGCTGAATTTCTGCAACCAACGTGCTCATAGCACCCCAAGCTTTCAAACCAAAGAATTGTTGGGCCTACAAGGATGTTGGAGTTGTATTTGAAATGAGCAGTATGATGGTAGGACTTAGCACTGCACTGACGGACCATGGCACAGTATTGCAAGCACTAATATATGCACATCTCCTTCCGAGTGGCTGTTTGGTGTCTGCAAGATGGAGCCACCTTTAATACCAATCTCGCCTCAAAGGATTCAAGATAGCATCAACTGTCAAAAGCCCAACTTCATGAGAAGCTAGAAAGGAATAATGACAGTTGAAGAAAGAAAGCATAGCAGAAAGAACCGTCTGAATCAAGTTAAGTTCTCCAAAAATGTTGGAACCAAATTAATCATGCGAAGGGTTCTTCTGCCTCCTGCAGCAGGTAGGAGCTTTCTCCCTACTACGACAGCTACACTTTAACTACCACCTCTTCACAGCCTCCCAACCAAAAAGGAAAAAATACCATTCGATTTATGTCATCGTTGATCAGATCTGTCTTGGACTTATCTACTATCTACCCCCTAGAACCTGCTTGTAGCCACCAGTTCCTTCAATTCTTTGGTGTTTTGACACCTGTCAAGCTCAGGAACTTGGCACTTGTGGCTTTGGTGGCTGCCCGGCAGCACGGTTGCCTTGCATCACGTGCCGCAAGATGGCGGCTGACTCAGCACCTTGAAGCTCCTACAGGGGCAATCAAATAATTGCCATCGTCGCTGCGGGGCGCCTGGTGTTTTCTTTGTTTTTGGTGACGCGGATTTTCACAACCGTGGAGGCGTTGACATTCTTGCTGTTTCTTGTACATGTATGCGATGCTATGGGTTATGCTAACGTTCATGCCAACTAGGGTGGGGTGGGGCATGTTAACGTTCATGTGCACTTGCGTGGGACGCTGATTCTATGGGTTATGTTAACGTCCATGTTAACTGGGGTGGGGTGGGGTAGGGCATGTTAACGTTCATGTGCACTTGCGTGGGATGTTGATGCTATGGGTTGTGTTAACGTTCATGTCAACTGGGGTGGGGTGGGGCATGTTAACGTTCATGTGCACTTGCGTGGGACGCTGATTCTATGGGTTATGTTAACGTCCATGTTAACTGGATGGGGTGGGGTGGGTGGGGTGGGGCATGTTAACGCTCATGTGCACTTGCGTGGGATGTTGATGCTAGTGGGTGCTTCGACGCGAGAAGATGCGTGGATCACCTCAGGAGAACGTTAAAGCACTCTCCAAAATGTGGAACACGAAGTAGCTTTGGCAAGTCACAAAAATAGGGTGCGCACGCGTGCACCGCAGGGTGACTGGGGGCGTCATGATTGATTTGTCAACAAGACCAGGCGCCTGGTGGCGTCGTTCCCTAGTCAAATGGTTACAACACATACAAAATTGAACATGTCAATATAACTTGCTATAACATGCTATAACTTTATGTGTTGATGACCAATGGTTGTATCTCTTGCCCATGCCCATGCTTGTTCTTGATACAGTCACTAGAACATGTGCGCTCATGTCAATGGACAATAAGTCACCTGAGACTTCAAAAGCTATCAGTTGCAAACTTCAAACGGATAGGCTGATTTGCAAGGCTGACATTGTAAGGCTTCTCTTGAAAAAATCACGATGGAACCGTCTTTTCTCGGACTGATTGCAACCAAAACAGGTAAATTAAAAGCTTCCAAACACGTTCAGTTTGTGGCCTCGATAGCCTGCTCTGCTTCATCTGCTTCAAGAAATCGAAACTTTCTTTGCGTGGCAGGTGGCAGCAATGGCTGTACAATGCCTGAGCGAACAAAAAATTGGCAGGGCGATGCTGACAAGGATCTGTTTGGATCTATACTATACAAATATATATATATATATGAACGAGGGATCTGCATGTATGATATAACGCACTAATGTTTCTAATTTGTTATAATGCTATTTTAGCATGCTGATATAAAAGAAAACTATTTAAAGGTTTTTGCAAAAAATAAGTTAAATTACAACACGTTAAATATATATATATGATTGTTTTTTGCTTTGCAGCCCACTTTAAGAAGACGTTTAAACACTAAAAAGTTTGGTGGCCTACTTTAAAAAAAGACCAAAAAAACTAGAAAAATCTAAAAATACTAAATATTTAGTATTGTTTAGTTTACGGCCTAAAAACTAGAAGACTAAAAGTTATTTACAAAAAAAAACTAAACATTTAGCTTGCCTGACTACCCTGCGAAGAGGCACCTTCAATTGCCTTTGTGAGTCGGTCAGCTCTTTTGGCAGAAGTGTCAGACGAGGGTGTGGAGACTGACTCCACATCTGCATCACCGTCCTCTGCAGGAAGACAGCTTTCTAGTTTTGCGGCCTACCTTTTCTGAAAAGAAAAAACAAGCACTAAAAAAACCTAAAAAATCTGAACCCTTTTATAAATTATTAAAAAAAGAAAAACCAACAATTCGTTAAAACATATATTCTTAGTGGTTTTGCAATTTTGAGTTTTTTTAAGTAGGCCGCATAACTAAAAAACTAACTATTTAGTTTTTTTTACAGCTTTGTGTGTGTGTTTTTTTTGTTTCTTTTCCTTTTAAGTAGGCCGCAAAGCAAAAAAACTAAATATTTAGTGGTTTAGATTTTTTTGTTTTGTTAGTTTTTTAAAAGTAGGCCGCAAAACTAAAAACTAAATATTTAGTGTGTTTAGAAGTGTTTGTGTTTTTTAAAGTAGGCCGCAAAACTAAAGCAACTAAATGTGTAGCTTTTCTATCATTTTTTGTTGGTTTAGTGATTTTAGAATTTGTTAATACCTGGAAACCTGGGAACCTCAAGGATTTAGATGTTTACATGTGTTTAGTATTTTTTAGTAGGCCGCAAAACTTCAATAAACTATAGAAGTATTTAGCTTTTGTTTGAACTCTTAGTTTTTTGAGTGCTTTTTTTTAAAGTAGGCCGTAAAACTTAAAAGAACTAAATATTTTGTTTGTTGATTTTTTTGGGTTTTTTTTAAAGTAGGCCGCAAAACTTTAAACACTATATAAATATACAGTTTTAGAACTTTGAGCTCCTTTTAGTAGGCCGCAAAACTAAAAAACTAAATATGTAGATTGTCTTTAATACCAGGAAACTGAGGAAGGTCAGGCATTTTGCTTTGAGTTCTGCGGACTACTTGAACCGTATACAACTCAAACATGAGCATGCAGCATTTCTACTGCGGCATTCTACGCTACGTTCCTTTGCGATCATAACTCCTTTAGTCTACCTTACCCTACTCTAATCTCCAAGAATTGCTTCACTGTTTCCTTTCGTGCAATACAACAGGGTGCAGTAGTGCAAGCAGCTAAGAAACACACCATAGACCAGGACTACCATGTATTAGATGTATTTTGTCAACCTGAGTTCGCTTCTGCTTCATCTTGCATTGGTATACATAACCCTACCCTGTGCTACTTCTCTGGTTTGTATCCCAGCTTCTTCTACATTTATTTGGCATAGTATATTATCCGAGTCTCAGTGCATCTTTCACGCAATCGTTTTTCGAATAGAGTAGAGTACAGCAGTTGGGACGAAGCTGAATGGAGAGGAGTAGGCTAGTAGGCAAGGGATAGACAGTGAGAAACCACCCCCAAATATAACCTATATGTAAGCCGTTGACAAGCTCCTGTTCATATCTATGCACCTAAACGCTTTGAAGCAAATGATGCACCCTAACCCTCAGCAGGATGTCCTGGACATGCGCGTACTTTTTCACTCTTATATACTCTGCCCATTAACCCTACTGTCTGCTTGAATGAAGGTATGAAAGGAAGACTTCAGATCGAAAAAATGATACAGAAAGTGAAAAAAAAGTGAACGCTTGCGTGCAGAAGGCTTCAACCTAGGACAGGAGAGGGAGGGAGGGACAGACGAGAAGTAAAGCAACAACATAACTTTTATGGTTGTAATGCAATGGATGACGCAAGAAGGATCGCACACCCATGTTGTTCAATTTTGGTCACAATAGTCGCATGGGTGTATTCTGTCTGTATGTACGCTACTCTACTGTGTGTAATTCTACCAGGATAACCAGTCTAGTCTATCTTACCCTGCCGTAGTCTTTGACACACTCATTTGAGCTCGAGTTGTTAGAGCAAAAATCAGATCTTCGCACAGTCGACAAGAACTACCCTGTAGTTTGTCAACCACACACCAGGACAACTAATTATATATTATATACATATATATATATAGTTGATCAACCTGTGTTCGCTTCTGCTTTATCTTTTAGGCCCTACCCTATGCCACTTCTCCTGTTTGTCACCCACATTGCTCTACTTTTATATTTGGCATAGTACATTATCCGAGTCTCATTGCATCTTTGGCACAATCGCTTTTTAGAATAGAGTAAAGTACAGCAGCTGGGACAAAGCTGAATGGAGAGGAGTGGGCTAGTGAGCAAGGGATAGTGAGAAACCACTGAAACCACCCCCTAATGTAACCAATATGCGACCCCTTTCATAAGCTCCTTTTCGTATTTATGCACCTAAAGGCTTTGCAAGCAAACCTAACGCTCTGCAGGATGTCCTGGAAATGCCCGTGCTTCTTCACACTTACATACTCTGCCCATTTACCTACTACTGCTTACTTGAAGGGAGGTATGAAAGGAAGACTGCATATCGAAATGATACAGAAAGTGAAAACATGTGAACATGCAAACATGCAAAGGGCTTCAATATAGGACAGGAGAGGGGTGCTAGTCTAAGGAAGGGACAGACGTGAAGTAAGGCGACAGCATAACTTTTCTGGTTGTAATGCTGCAGGATGTCCTTGAAATATGTTTTCCTGCCCATAATCTCTGCGTTCATGTCCTCCGTTACTCAGAACGCAGGCAAAAAAGTCCGTAGGAGGAATGGATGACGCAACAAGGATCAACAAAGGTAAAGAACCACACCCATGATATTGTTCAATAATAGTCGCAACTATCGCATGGGTGTATTCTGTCTGTGTGTATGCTGCTCTACTCTGCGTAATTCTACCTGGATAACTACTAATTATATGATCAACCTGTGTTCGCTTCTGCTTCATCTTTTACCCTACCCTATGCCACTTCTCCTGTTTGTCACCCACCTTGCTCTACATTTATTTGCCATAGTATATTATCCGAGTCTCAGTGCATCTTTCACGCAATCGTTTTTCGAATAGAGTAGAGTACAGCAGTTGGGACGAAGCTGAGAGGTCGTTATATTGTACGAAAAGGTCCCCTTCACATATATATATAGCCTTCTGCATAGCCTGCTGCACAGCTTATCTCAGCTGGGATTCTCCAAACAGGCTGGATCATTGCTGGCGCATCCACCATCATCACCTAAGGTTGTTGCCAGCGCTCAATTGCTGTTCAACTGCCAGTCAGCCTTGTGGAGAAAAGTCCAAATAGATCTACAGTAAATAGAATAGATTAGAATAGCCTGCTCCTTGCTCCATTAATTACATGTTAAGTTTCAACGAGATTCAACCTCCTATGCCCCACCCACCCTCCAAACGAAGCAGTAGGCACCTACAATGGTACACTTCCAAAGATTTCAAGAAATTCCCCACAAGCACAAGCACCCATCACCTCACTTCGCTTCCCACTCCGCCGCAAGCACTGCGAGCTTGAGCACGAGGCATCACCCGCACCAAGGTAATGTACGGTGCGTACACGGCCGCGGTGTTTTGCACTTTTTTCTTGCCTTTTCGTAGGGAGGCGACCTTTTCTGCAGTACTTTTGAGGCTACTTTCAGGGCCCCGTAAGGAGAGCGTTCAGCGTGATTTGTGTGGGATGGGAGAAAGAGTCTCAGAGTACATTTATATGCACGTACACATACAGGCAACACCACATGTAAGACTCTCCGCCGTTGTTCTTGAAGAACGTAGCAACGCTGTTGAAATGAAAGAAACGTGGCCGACAGAGCTTTCACCGAAGACTTGCGTTCGAACACGTGAAGTTGAAACACAACGTAGTTTGGGGGGTTGCAAAAAAACATGCTCGTTGTAGTGAAACGCTCATTGTCAATTCCCCGCAGTCAGGTGGAGGCATCAATGACACCGTTGGACAAAAATATCAAAGGTTCACTAGTTCACAACGGATATATGTGCAATCAAAAACTCCTTACAACATCTTACAACGTCACGGCCATCTATGAGCCGTGGACCTAGGACCTGGGTAGTTTCCACAAAATAAAATCAAAAGCATACGTGGTAAAACTGAGAAAAGCTGAGGCTAGCTGGCAAGACAGTAAACTGTCATTAAAGGATGAACTGAGGCCAGCACAGTCCTGAGTCTATCACGATAGGGTTGTCTGAGCAGCTCGGCAATACCAATCACGGCCCGTGGATCCAGATTGTATCTCAATGTGAAGCTGTGGCAGTCCACGACCACGTCCATCTTGGCAACAAGTAGGGACTGGACTTGGACATGAGTCATGCAACCCTGCTCTCCATTCGTTCACCACCGATCAAGTTGCCGAAGACCTCCACTCGGCTCTATCAGAATGATGCATTTTCCACTAAGATGCTTGGGATGGAGTCAAAAAGACAAAGAAGGGAACAAGGAGGCTCGAATCGTCGCTCCAAAATCAGCCACGTGTATTGAACTAAACAGGCGAAATTGAGCTTCTGTAAAACTGATATCCAGAGTTCAAGGCATTTCCATTCGCCCTCCACGCTCTCGCGGGCTTTCCTAACATGTGAGCTTTCCGCCATACCACACAATATCCCTGCGCCTGCTGGACAAGGGGTGGCATACTCTTCACTGCAGTCTCCAAGACAACTGCAACATGGTCCAAGGTATCTGATACGTTGAACGCGTGGGTTTGATGCCTGCAACACCTTGGGATTGAGTTGAGTGTCTAGAAAGGGTCTCCTATGATTCCTGTGTCTCCAAGGTCTGAAGCCGGATACCCAAAGGCCACAACTTAGCAATGCACACCATGAAAACCAGGCGGAGCCTCTTAATGACTTGCCACAAACGAAAGCATGAAGCAACAAAAGCTGGTGAGAATAGCAAGACCTGTACAGCCTGGTGCACCTTACAGAAAACGACTGATTGCAATGATCCTGGTGAGCTGACCCAGACCGCCATGGCACAGGTATAGGAGTGGGTGCCCATCTTCAGCCGTTGTCAAGACTCGAAAGTCTCCCTGCCACATTGGGACTCGGCTCCCGCTGAGAAGGTCCTGGTATCAGATAAGTTTCACGTAACCACTTAAATGAAGTGTCAATCAAAGGCTTAGTCTGCATCGAAAGAGAAAGGGGTTATTTGATGGATGATATATGAGCGGTGTCAAAGGTCGAAAACCATCCGGAACTTTTATTAAGATTACATAAACCTTTTGCCAATCCTTCTACGCTTTCGCGGCTGCATGTTTTGCTTTCGCCGACCCACTTCACCCAACAACCTCTTTCGCTAACCCTTTTGCCGAGTTTCTGCTACTTATATGGATCTAAGAAAAGTATCAGCAAAGGGGGAATCATTCCTAATCTGCAACCACTGCTTTCGCCACATCTTCGCGAGCCTTTCGCCAACCTTTCGCCTGGTTATCAGGAATCTTTGGATGACATGCTTTGTACTGAAAACCTCTTTCGCCAACCTTTTCGCAACAAAATCCATTCATCACAAAAATCAGAGCCTTTCTCCAAACCTTTTGCCGAGCTTTTCCCCACTGCAGTTTTCCTTTCGCAAAGATTCATAATCTTAAGTCCTACCTATATAATTTTCTTCATAGAGGTTTATGACGTTGCTCACAAAATTAATTGGTCAGAACGCAGTTTTGTCAGGTCCTGATACTGCTCCCGCCACTTCAGCGTGTTGGCCAAAATTTCAGCAGCGGCGTTTACGTCGCCCTTGCGGCCATGCAAATAGATGCGCAATACCTGCAATCTGTTGACGGCTGCATTCGCAAAAATGTGGTACTTCATTGACCGCAAAAGCTGTGAATTTGACAGTTTCAAATCTGCCTCTGGCGTGCACCAGTTGCGTTGCCACATGCTCAGTCCAGCCAGCAGCTCTTCAGCAGCGCACAACACCTGCAAGGCCGGCTAAGGTCGCCGCTAAAACAACACTTGGCCTCCCCACCTCTACCCAGGGCACAAATATCATCGAAATCAAATCCCTCAAACTGTGTGGTGATGATTTACAGTATATAACCTCAAAGCAAGCTTGTGATGTTTCACGAGAAACGACTCTGAATCAGAACCAACCAGTCTTTCAATGTCTTTCATGTCTCCCCAAAAGCTGCAAGAAGTGACTATCGAGCGCACCCAGAAGCTGGCAGCAACCCATGTCTCATATCTGGCAAGACCTTTAAAGCTAGGTTTTCACGGTCTTCACCCTCTGTCTTCAAACCTGACCTTTGCAACAACACTGGCCAAACAAAGGTCTTCAAGAACACTATGTATGTACATATACACATATAATATATAATGGTATATATAATATGTATACATATAGTATACTGTCACTGTAGCCTCGCATTTGTTCAGCTTTGCACTTTGTTCAGGAGCCTCGCCAAGCTGCGCCTCATCTGATCTAAGGACTGCCTGCAGGTACCAATTCGACAGCTTTGAGGCCATGGTGTCAGAGGAACTAACATTGTTGCTCTCACTCCATGACCACAGAAGATAGATAATTAGTGGTAAGCATACCATGTGAGAGGCAACTGATGCCCGGAAGTACCCCTGAACATAAGAGGAAACATACCTGGGTAGTTTGCAAAGAAGAAACACATCCGTGCCAAGAGAATGCCCCGTCTGCGTCTGCCACAATAAGTTTAACCCATTTTACGGTAGTTGAGATAGAACACCTGGAGGTCATATGCAAGTCTTGGAGAATAGAAACATTTACATATATAGGTAGTAGAAGCGCCAAAACATTTCGCCTGCGGTTCCTCGATTGCTGTTTCTCGCTGTGAGCGCTCGCAGCAACATGTGGTTCCCATCGCTGGCTGTAGTGTTCTAGGCACTCAGTGCCCTTCGAGCAAGGAGAAATGCACTGTCATTCAATGAAGCGTGGCGTTCCTGTTGGCCCTTTTTGTTTCTGATAGCATTGTCTAGTCAAAGTGTGAAGGTGATAGAGCATGATGTGATACACTTTATGCTGCAATGTAGAATGGTGACTAACGGCACTTGTAGCTGAAACCCGCTGATTCGCCTTTGATGAAAACCCAAAGGGCCCTCCATAGGGCCCCAGGCGACATGTGTCGACCCTAGTCGCAATTCAATTTGCAATGTTGTTGGGTTTGTTGCCCTCTCATTTCAATGGCTGCAGCCTCCCAAGCATTCAAATTATCAGGCATTGGTGACAATTTTTTTCCTACACCGCGTGGTGAAAACGTTTGCAATTGTTTTTTGAAAATGATACATGCCAATCGCTTTGTGGATGGCATCAGTATCGTGAAATGAACACTGGAAAACAACAACGCGACATCACATTCACATCACACATTATTGCACTTGGAAGACCCCCACTCGGAAAAAACATACCTACCAGCCAGGTGCCTCGTCTATCCACTCATACCGGATCTCATCAAAGCCTGTGGCAGCCCGAAAGCTGCAGCAGAGAACAGTGCTATCACACCGGCTACATTTTTTCAATGAAGGAACTGTTGCACAACGAACACTGGACGAACACTACTACACGCATAATATTGTACTGTACACACACTGTTATGTGTTGTTGTCTGCAAAACTGAGCTGGTCCAGTTTCTGCTGGCCTTCCGCTTTGCTGGGCAGTGAGAAATTCTGAAAATCCCGCTGCAAAGCCCTAAGCCCGCCGTCTACCATGCAATCTTTTGACAGCGGTCAGATGAGGTTGCTGAGTTACTTTTCTCGTGGGTGGTGTACAAGCCTTCCTCTCCGAACTTCATGTCATTCCCCTTTCAACTCGTTTTTCTTCAAGTGATCCTCACCATGAATGACATAAGCAACGCTGTAAAAATGTTCGCCTGCGGAGTTTTTTTTCAACTGCAAAAGTTTCATTCGTCGGCCTTGTGGACCGTCTACTCTGAACCGCCCCGGCCAACAGAAAGAACTGGATGCTGATAAAGCACGCTGATCAAACATGTTCAACTTTGCAAAGCCACCTAAGCCAGCTGCACTTTGCCCATAGGTTACTTTCTTACCATGTCATGCCAGTGCTCCGAGCCAATCACTGTCAATAAGTTGCAAGGTCTCAGATACCCGAACTTGTCAACAGGACCACCTGAATCATGCACAGAGAGAGGTCTCTTCAAACATGGCAGAAGCATTTTCACCTGTGTATCCACAAAAGAAATGCACCATTTTCTGCCATCTCGCAAAGATCTTCACTCTTTTTGGCGACTTGGTTCCAGTCTAGAGATCTGCACCTTGACCCAAATATCTATGGCCGTGGACTCTAGGCAGAAATGACAGAAGCCAGGTTCACGCTGCTGCTGCCGCTTGCGCCTTTAGTGCAGAGCAACGTGGACAAAGGCAACCAAGTGCCACAAGGTAATTTACCCTCCCGGCGGGGATTCGGAATGGTGAGCGGTTGGCGCGTCAGTTGCCATTGATCAGCAGCAGCCTGCAAACTGTTGAAGTGACCGCTCACAATCACTGCTGAAAGAGTCCACGCATTTTCGACGGACGCAGGTGCCGAGCTGCTGATCAAGCCGACTGGCTTATCGTCGCTTGAAATTCAACATGACCAGCCAACTGCACAGCACTCAAGCTAGAGTCACACTGACGGAATTTCTCTTTGATTTCAACGCTTGGCCGAACACTCGCGAAGGGTGACTTTGCCTGTCTCCAAAGTGACATGGAGTTCCTCGCGTCTTCCACTTTTCGTCAGTGGATCAGCAAGTTGGTGTCTCATCGGAACTCCTCTCCCCAGCGATGTCTTGGAATCGAGAACTACATGTTTCGAGAAGAATGAGTTCTGTGATAGTGAGGCAACCATGACCCATGATACCTCCTTGCGCTTCCGAAATCTTGGTCAAAATCATGTTGCTGTTGTTGCCCTTCACGGAGCCTGATTACAGATTCGTGGCGGAAACGCACGCTGCGATCATGGGTCATGGTTGCGGTCACTCGGCGAACTCTTCTTCTCGGAATCTGGCTTAAGTGGCCTGAAGTGGCCGCTCGAATTCGCTGCTGAAAGTGTCCACATATTTTCCATGTACCAAGGGACCAAGGACCCAGCCGCTGATCAAGCCGAATGGCTACCACAAAATGACCGGCGATTGAAGTCAACAAAAAGCAAGCTAGACTCACAAAATGAGAAGGAGGCACATCACATACTACGCACAGTGTTTTTGCCACACGCACCCATGACATGGCCACGCCCTTCCGACAAGTCCCGATCTGGCAGGAGCATAGTCTTGCAAGTGTTCCTTCGACAACAGGAGCTATATCTGAACAAGTCTGAGCTGACTGGTTGTGAAAGCACGGGCACTGTGGGGCAAATGTCTATCCCATCCAGAAATAAGCACTTTGATTTCCACGTGTAGCAACGGTTGACGCACCAACAAGAGCAAGTTAGGCGGCGAGGTGTTTCGCGCGCGCCATCGATGCTGCGCCGGCGGCACCCATTGCGCGCGTTCAATGAAGTCTGCCAAGCTAGAATCCAATCTTATCATGAGATATGTCCACAGTCCACAATAACAACACGCCACGTTCCAGCAAACTGCTCGGATTCCTTCGAGCCACGCAGACACACAGAACACACGCGCTCGCAGGAAATTTCTTTTCTTGCTTCATGTCTTGCACAAACCAGGTCTGGCGCGCAGGTCCATCCCGCACTGGCATCCGACGTGTGGGCGCACACACTTGACACGATACTGCAGAGGAGTTCGACGCGCAAGCGAGATGGAGAAGGAGCACTCGGAGCACACTGACACACAATCTAGAGACCCTAACACAGCGTTGCAGCCAAGTGCAGGTAAAATTGAGACAAGAACAATGGATGGGACTGAATCTGAGGAAGCCGCTGTTCTGTCACTTCGAGCTTCGAATTTGGCAGAAAGACTTCCTGGCCAAGCATTGTATTTATTGTATTGTGTACTTTGTGACACACGCCTTCACCCAAGGAACAGAACACTGCGACCGTGCGACCTTCTAAAATTTGACGCCAAGGTGGGCCAAGAAGCCTTTGGCTGAGTCAAGGAACTGATCGCAACAACTCAAACTCTTCCTACCCCCTACATTGCTGGAGTTTTGCAACGTAGATTGCTGGTTGGCTCCGGCAGCTCAAAAATATACTTTGCCGTCTCGAAGGCCTTTCACTTACTCAATGTGTTTTTCGTTTCGATTGCAAGGCTTGAAGTTCTGGTTTTAGTTCAGTCTGGCCGTGACAATGATGTTGCTAACGACTACAACATACTGAATTGATGGCGGCGATGGTGCTTGAATGAGTCTTTGAGCAGCATCTTGAGTCTTGGGTCTTGGTGCACAGGTGAACATTGCTGCCTTGCGTTGCAATTGTGGCCAGTGCGGAGATGAGCCCGCTGTGGCCGTCACAAGCGCGCCGAGCCCACATCATCGCACGGCTCCTTCAAATCGTCAGGCGGCGGCTCTTCTCCTGCTGCCTGCTTGTGAACATATCTGAAAATCCGCCTACCCCACGTCAGCTAGGCAGGGCGGCGCCTGGGACAGCGTAGCGAGAAGCGATCTGGCCTCTTTTCTGGACCTTGTCCTAGTCACCAGCCAGCCATAGGCTGCTTGTGGGAGCTACCTGCGGCTTGTCCTGGTTCCTGGGGCTCGTGCTAGACACCTTTCATGTTCGAAGGCGACGTCGCCTAAGACACCTCTTTGTGTAAGGTTTCGAAGGCAGCGTTAGGCAGTGGCAACGGTCGCTCCCTGCTCCTTTGAAACCTTCGGGCCAGGAAGTTTCGGTGTCCCAAAGAATCCAAACTTGATCAAAATCAATCGCTGTTGAACTTTTCAATAGACAATTGAATTTGATGAAAAATCAACCGAATGTTTAATAGGTTGGCTTTTGTGTAAACCAATCGAATTTTCAATTGAAATTTGCAAAACAACATACTTCAAAAATCAATCGACAAATCAATTGCGAAGTCAATCGACAAATTAATTGGGATTGCTGCTGCGCTCTTTTTCCTTCTCTTCGCATTCCACCTGAGGTGGTCAAGCTCTTGGCCAGTTTTCAGGCCTGGCTCTCCAGCCATCACTTCCAAAAAATGGCTCTCCGGCCATCAGCTCATGGTTCTCCAACCACCAATGCCCATTTGTCTGGATCTGTTGCTTCTGTGCCTCTCCAGCCACCTATCCCTCTTCTACCTCTTCCAGCTCTGGGTTCCACAGGCCTTGAAGAAGCACATGGAAGGCCAACTCAAACTTCTCCAGCACCTTCTTTGAGAGCATCCAAGCAGGTGTGCCTTTCACAGATGCAGATGCAATGGAAGTGACTATGGGCATAAATGATTCAGGCCAATAAGTCCAGCATGCTCTTGGTGCAAGAAATCGACACTGGGATGGAAAGTGTGCAAGCATATGGTGCTTTTGGACCAAAGACCATTGGTATACCTTCTTGTTCATGGAGTCCTTTGCTAGCCATGCAGAATGCGCAAGAATTGCTTTGCATTTCTCTGCAAAGATCTTGGCGGTTTCTTCCTTCCACACAAACTCCTTTCTGTCTGCAAGAAGCCTCCTCCAAAGCTTTGCAGACAGCCAACATGTGTTTGGCCCTGGCATCCGTTGTATCCATGGATGCAAGCAAAGTTGCTACTGGAGCAGAGCCTCTGATTCTCCTGGCTTTGTGATGTTTTATGCGTGGGTAATCTGAGCCTCCTGCACAAATGTCAGGCAACTTAAGCTTCTCCCAGCAGGAATGCCAATCTCATCATATTTCTTGGCAATGAGGCTGTTGATCTTCACCAAGGCTGTAGCCCTGGACATGGCCTTTTTATCTTCGACGCATTACCAAACAACATTCCCATATGTATGGGCTGCCACTCCAAGGTCCCCCATGTGCAGCAGATCCAGTTTGAGTGTCCAAAAGCTAACCCCAGGCACA